GGGGAATTCTGGGAGTTGAAGTCCACCCATCTTAAAGTCGCTGAGGTTGAGGAACCCTGTCATACCTCATATTAAACAGTAAGGTACTTTGCTTTGGCTTAGTCAACTAGTACACTAAGGGGGAAAGTACTTAAAGCATTCAGTAGACAGAGAAGACTTCTGCCTTTCAATCCCCTGCCTGTGGCTTTCTGTCGAAACCCCATTCCAAACTTCTTAGGCTTTTAAACAGCCACTTCAGCCTCCTTTATCGACGTTTCCTCTTAATTAGCACTGTCTTGTCCATCTGTCCGACGGCAACTGCAAGATCCTGCCCAGGCCTCCGTGTCCTGGTGCCATTCATTTCAACACATTCACCTAAAAGAGACTGTGTAATGGTGGGTCCGCTCCAGGTCAGGAGGAAAAAACAGAAAACTAAGTCTCAGCGCAGAGGGAGCCGGGGAGGGACTCGGACGTGACCCCAGCAGGCGCTTCCCTGAATAGCAAGCTGTCGCGTCAGCGCGTGGTTCTCTGCGAGCAGCAGCGCTTATGTGCCCGCACGCAACTCCCTTATGCCCCGGTGAAACTGTTACATTTCCGACGACTTTCCAAGAAGTGTCAGCGTCTTCCGCCCAGCCCCACCGCAGACGATGTCCAAGGACGCCGCCGCGGCAAGTTGCCCCGCTCCCCTTCTTTCTCTGGCTCCTCTCCCCGCCCACTCCAGGGTTCTTGCCGCAGCTGCAGGGAGCCAAACCCCGCCCTCTCGTCCCCGCGTGCGACCGGCTGACTGGCGAATGAGACTCGGCGTTCTCCCGGCAAGCCCATTGTCTGCATTGAGGCGCCGGCGGGAAGCGCGAGAGAAGCGAAGCGAAGCGAAGCCAGCGGCGGCGGCCTCCCCCCCGCACCCCGAGACGCGCCCGCGCGCGTACTTACACCAGAGCGAACCAGAGGCACCGCGGGAAGGCAGCTGCGCTCTGGCGCGATGCGGAGCGCCAGCAGCCGCTCTGCAGCTGCTGAGAGAGGGAACCAAGGACTAGCCCCGGCTCGGCACCTCTGCAGCTGCTGAAAGGAGAAAGAGGCTAGGCCGCCTCCGGAGACTCCCAAGTTTGCCCTTTTGCCCTGACAGGAGGAGCCTTCCCGCCTCTCCCGCATGGAGACTCTGAGCGCCGTGAGGGCGAAAGTGGGAGCCAGAAGCCCCGGTGGCTGCGAGGCAGCAGGGACTGGCGAGCCCCAGCCCGTTTCCTCTTCGGGTCCAGCTGGCCGAGGCTCTCCCGCAGCGCCGGCGCCGGATTCCCCCGGCTACAGACTCGAGGACCTGGAGACCTTGGCTACCGTGGGTGAGTGAGGCTGGGCTTCAGCCAATGAAAAACAAAGAACGCGGGAGCGGAACGTAGCGGGCCCCCCGCCCCTCTGCGCGCCGCCCCGTGACCACCCACCGGTTCGCCCGGCTTAGCTGGCTCGAGAGGGACCCCTTCCCGCCCCGCGGGACGGAGCGACGGGGGCTCCTAGTTCAGGAGGCGGCACTCCGTTGAGCAGGGATGGTGCAACAGAGTCCTGCGGCGTCCCTTCGTTTGGAAATCATGATCTGAGAGTCAAGGCAACAGGAGAGCTGTTGCCACCGCTCTGCTTCCCCTGGGCACAGCCCCAAAGGATGTTGCCAGCTGTGCCATCCCTGTGAAAATGCAGTCTCATTGTTAGCTAGATGTTTCAAGTTTCCTACACCCTGTATGCCCCGGCAGCAATTGCTTGTTGACATCTAGGCTTTCTCTCGTAGAATGGTGAAGGCGTAGTGTCTTTCCTTCCGTGTTTTGATTCAGAAAGGTTCTGCAACTGCTTTATCAGGCAGAGCGCAGCAAGTTTTACAAATGCCAGTTGAAAAGCTGGCAGGTGCCCACTGCAGCTTCAGAACCTCCAGGCACAATATGAACAAGTCTGATAATCTCTCTCTCTCTCTCTCTCCCTCTATGTAAACAAGTGATTCTGATTCTTCTCCCTTCTCTCCATGTTGGCATAAACCTACAGTTTGTAAACAGTGTGTGGTTCTGTTTATCTGAGAGTACAAAAAATTGCTCTGAGTTTTCAGCCTTTAGGCTCTTAAAGCAATTTACACGCTTCTTTTCCCCCTTTTTTCTTTCGAGTCCCAGCATCAGTGGGGGTTCAGCCCAGCATCAGCAGTCACATTAATCATAGCTTTATGCTGTAGAGAATTTAGAAATGTTTGTTTTTTAAAGTATTCTATATGAAGTAGATGGCTTAAGTTATAATATGTTCAGAGAGATTGAAGCTTGTTAAGTGTATGTGATCATGCTTTTCAGAATGTTTGTAAATTCCATCCCAGGTCCTGTTAATATTAAACACTGTTTGCAACTGTGGGTGTGTTCTTCCGTTCAGCTGCTCAAGTTTCAGTGTATCTTCAGCACTTGAGCATTGCTCATGTAATAAGCTGGAATGTATCCCTGCATTCCTTTCAAAATGCAGGTAATATATAGAATTTGAATAGATCCAGTGACAGAGGGTTCCTTTATTTGTACATAGCTTTCTTTCTCAACTCTCCCTCTTGGCAGATGTTTACTTGTAATCCGCATAGATAGTAACGTTAGCAAGTTTTGGCTGTAATGAAAAAACAGAGAGCATGAAAGCAGTGCCATAAGATAGTAAGGAAATCTAATGTGAAATATGCAGTGGAAAGGATCTATTATGAAAATAAACTCTTTCTTTTAGTTAAATGCACTGGCCAGATTCAGATTTTTATCTCTGTAGAATTCACTGTTTGGAGAGGGGTCGTGGTCTTCTCATGATGTGGAGAAATGCCTATTTGCATTAATTGGATATATTTACTGGATGTAGTTTCAGGGCACATCCAACTTATTTAGTGTAGATTGATATCTTCACACATTTCTTGTTATACAAAGGACTATATCAGCCATGTGGTAACAACGTATTTGGTTGCCCTGACATGAAATATGTATATATGTTCCTAGTCATGTCAGAGTAGAAGGGACTTATTTCTCCATCCCTCCTCTTTCTGATAATAATGACAACAGCCAACACCACAATTACCCCACAAGTATTTTTCACCACTAGTCAAGTATCTTACATCCCCATTTCAGCTGCAGGTGAAAAAACTCTTCTCTTTTATGTAGTCAGCTTAAATATGCAGTGTCATTGTTTTTTAGGTTAATGTACTGGACTCACCTTAATTTAGAGCTGGTTTACATGTGCTGATTTCATCAGCAGCTGCATACACCTGCTGGTTCTGCCTACAAGTGGGTGTGGTGATAGCTATGCATATCTTGGTTATCATAGCTAAGATGACTCTGACTAATCCTAACCCTAAAGAATTAAGGGATGTCCTGTTTTTTATTTATTAATGGATTAAATATGTGGTAGAATCACATGTTCACACATCACAATACTAATCAGTTCACAAACAACTCCTTAGCATTTGCAAGTTATGTGCATGTGTACAGGGACAAAGAAATGAACAGGAGCATTTGATTTTCAAATCATAGAATCCCTCTATTCTACTTTATTTTTCTATTTGTTATCATTGGGGCAAAAGTGTGCAGGCTTCTTATAGGCCAGCTGATTCACTTGGCACTTGTTCATGAGTTATATATAATTTGTTGCAGAAAAATTATTGCAGATTCACATCCTGTTAAAAAACAAATCACCTTTTTATGTTATAGAAAATGGAGCTCTATTCCAGAATGGGAACCTCCAGCACTATTTGACTTTCCTGGGTCCCTACCACCACTACCAATTACCACTTTTCAGGCATGGCCACTGACAGGTTGCCCTCAGTGCATGGATAACTTAAGATAAGGCGTGGAAAAACAGCAGAAAGTTGAGTTTCAGCCAAAAACATGGCCCCACTTTTATTTTCAGTATTTGATTTCCTTCAGAATATTTTGGAGGGTCCCTATATAGTTTAAATTGATTTTTAAGAGTGGTGAATAGTGGGAATCACTTTTGATTCTGTTGTAATATGTAGATAAACTCAGCCTTAATGTATACAGACATGATAAAAGAACAAAAAGATAATAAACATTGGAAGGGGATAAAGTAACATTTTCCGGACAAACATTTAAAGTTTGTCTCAATCAGCATTTCTCAAACTACAGTTATGGACCTGTCTCATGGTTTCAGCTTTGTTGTAGGTGAAACTGAGAACCTCCTTGAGAGAAATATTGATGGCAGAAGGCCTGAAGGTGTATTGAAAGAGGCAGAAAGGGATGAAGAGTTCAGTGTTTTAAATAATATTTTTATTTGTTGAAATAAAATTAAATCATTTTTCATTGAGTGATATTGTTTGGTGCTCTTGTTCCAATCACATACCATTTTGTAAATGTCTGACCTTTATAATTTTCACCTCTTTAAAAGAAAGAAGTTTGATAATTCCTGTTCTAAGTATATGGAAAACAGATGGATTCATTACATATTATTGGGGGGGGGGTGTATTCACTGTGCCATTTTCTTTCTTTTAAACACAATATATTTTTATTAAATATATTGTGTAAATATATGATGTTGTAGCCATTTAAATGTCATCTGGGTAACAATCACTTTTAATAGTTTATATATTATCTTTAATTCTGTGAAAGCTTTATGTTCTCTCTTGATAAAAAAGAATGTATATGTAATGCATTTTGGGTGCAGCAATGGTTCTAAATCCCTTTTAAGAAATTTGAGTGCTGCTTTAATTCTTTGTTGCATGTGCCAAAAGTATATTAATTTAATAATGCAGTTTTAGCAATCATTTATTTGCTAATTGAATTATATGTATTTGTGAACAGACAATATATCCTCCCCCTATCTAAGCATACTTAGTTGATTAAATAGAAGAAAAATCCAATTTCTTCTACATTTGGGATTTTTCTCCACAGATGTTGCTTATGGCTCTTTCTAGTAAGCGAATGTGTGAATTGAAATAAATGTTGCTAGCTGTGCTTTAAAATCTACTTAAAATCTATCTCTGTGGTCACTAGGAGTCAAAAACAACCTGATGGCACAGAATCAAAAAACTGTACTTTAAACACATGATTTTTATTGATAATATAAATTATGAAGTACAGGATGCTTTTGCATGTTTACCCTGTGAAAGAAATAAATGATATTTGCATGTTAAGAATGTGTGAGACTGTACTATAACTCTGTGACATTAACCCTAACCTGTGACTGCTGTAGTGATAGTGTTAAAAAGTTTTCAACAAGAAAGAGATATTATAGTTTGCAATTCTTGAGACAATTTCTTAATATCCCTTTGACTTTAGTAGGTTTGAACCACTCTGGGCATCTGTGCAGCATTGCTGCCTTAATATTAACAAATAACGATTCAATTGTCAAGCAGGAGTGCCTGTGAAGAGCAAGAAAATTAAAAATTGGCTGATACAGTCCTCCTTAAATAAAGGATCTTTAAAATTATGAGTTGGGTGATTGTTTCAGCATTAGAATGAAGACAGACACTTTGCATCTTTACAATATAACATAATGGAAGGGAACATTTCAAAATAAATTACTCTTTTATGATGAAAGTTACAGTGGAAGGAGAGAATAAAGGAATAGGTCAATTGAAAATGAATTCCTACAGACGTTTTGGCCATCTATTTTTAATGTACTTTTTCAGATAATAGATTAAATGCTGTGAGATGTTTAGAAATATTAGATCTATTGCTTTTTATTTTACCTTTTCTTCCAAAGGGTCAGACAGCCATCATGGTTGTTCTTTGCTCTCTGCTTTGGCCCCATAAGAATCCTGTGCAGTAAACTAAGCTGACAGAAAATAAAGATCAATTACCTGAATTTGCCCAGTCTGAGATATGATTGAATTAGAACAAGGTATCTTGGGATTGTTAAGAGTTTCATTGCATCACATCACAAAATACACTCAAAATAATATAAAGTATATAATTCTAAATATAAAGAAGTTTATAAATGTTTGTTATAATGTAACCAGTTATTTTTGGTTTGGGTTGATCTGAATTGAATTATAGGTAGTCCTCACTTAACGACCCTAATTGGGACTGACAACTCTGTCACTAAGCGATGTCATTGAGCGAAATGTCATGTGACCATTCCACTTAGTGATGGCAGTTCTGGCAATCTAGTTACTGTCGTTGAGTGAATCCTGTGTGATCATTAGGTGAGGACCTACCAGGTTCAAGCCATTCTTGGAAAAAAGTAAGGGACTACCTCCACTTTAACTCCCCCCATCCACCTATCTCCCCCTCATCTCTGCTCTTTTGGCCGTCTGCCTACTTGCTGACGCCAGTTGCCCCCACTGCCCAGCCCTGCCCACCGCCACCACACTGCACACCACTACTGTACTGGCCGGGGC